ACGGGAGAGGCGGGAAAGAACAGGGCCCTTCTACCTCCCTGGTCGGCTGCATGGCCACCGCTGAGGGAATATGCAGGTTCCGTGGCATGGGGCAGCCCGGAGCCTTCTGTGACAAGTGAGTAACCAGTGATCTAAACGAAGAGAACTGGGAGAGGGTGGCAGCCTAGCCCAGAGGGTCCATAATCCTGGTGTGCGTGTGCGAGTGTGTGTGCAGGCGTGTGCATGTGAGTGTATGTACATATGTACATATGTGTGTGTGTGTGTGTGTGTGTGTGTGTGTGTGTGTATGTGTATTAACTCTGGGTAGGAGCTGGGGCCACCCAGAGAAGGTTATATTGATACGTGTAGATGGCTCCTGGGTTCTGGCAGCCTGGGTGTACAGGGACAAAGCTTACCACTCTGGACTCCCTCATGCTGGGGCTATACGCTGGGCTTTCCTTAGAGGTGAATACAGTACAGTGGGGTTCTTAGATACCAGGTTCCAGGTGAGACAGTGCCAGTGAGGAAGGAGGGAAGCCCACTTTCAAGGCTCCTCCCACCCGAGCTTAGAAGTACAGTGACCTCTGACCTCTGAGCGGCAACATCCCAGCCACTTTCTAGAGTGAGGCTCTCTGGAACTCTAACACTACATCCTACCAGGTCTCTAGAAAATATGAATACCACCCCCCTCTCCCTCCACGAGGACCTGCTAATTCCACTCACTTGTAGTTTTCTCTGCAAATCTATTCCTGTCGGCCGGGGGCTCAGGGGACTCCACGCGAAGTCACACAGTGACATGGAAAAGTGAGATGACAGCCGTGTAACCTCATTAAGCCAGCAGGAACTGCCTCCTCCCTCCCCAGCTTGCCCTCTGCCTGGAGCTTCTAAACTCGCGTCTGCTTACAAACAGCCACCGAAGCCGACGCGAGGCCGAGAAAGAAGCCCTGCCTCTCGGTCAACCGGCAACATGTGTCCAGAGGCCGGAGACCTTCCGGAAGCTTTGGAAGCAGAAACACAGGGAAGTGGTCACCATTCCGGGGCACGGCTCTGCAACTCACTGCTCACACATCATCCCCACAGCACACAGACACAGTCCTTTTTGCTCAAGAATCACCAGCAAACCGAGACCGGGTTAAGCTCCTAGACAGGCTTCTCAGAAAGCAACAAACCTCACGGACAGCATCGCCAGCCCAAGTCATGAATGCTGAATCTTAATCAAGGGTAATGCCAGTGAGGCATGAGCTAGAAGGCAGGTCCCTGGCAGACAGGAAGATAGCCAGGCCAGCGCCACACAGGGTGGGCAGCAAGCAGGATCAATCGCGGGGTGGTGGGTGCAGCCAGGTGCGAGCCCGCCCACCCTCCTCCATCTAGTTACCTCAAGTGCCCCCGGATGGGCTATTTGAGGTTGTCTGCTTTGAAAAAGTGTGGATGGTCTGATTTCTGATCAGCAGGAAGCGTCCCCAGACATCACCCCAGCTCTATCATGTAAGTTCCCGGGGATGCCTGTGTCCAGGCAGGACCCCTCAGATGGTGGCTGCTACATCCATTCCTGCACCCGACTCACCTGCTTCCCTGGGTGCTGCTTGTTAAAAAGGCCACAGTCTAGTTATTAGGGAGCTAAGGAGGCGGCGGCGGGCGCAGTGGCGTTTTCATTAGGGAGTGTCACTGCAGAACGTCAGAAGCAATTGGTGAATGAGAGAGCCCCACACGGGTCGGCTTTGGAGGCAGCAAGTCCATTAGCCTCTATTAAGGAGTTTTCATCTTGTGGAAGAGGCTGAATTATTCACGAGCGCCTCTCCCCTAAAAGCTCAGGAAGTGCAGTGCTGTGCTGCAGCCTGGCAGTGCCGATGCCTGGGATGGGCGGTTGGGGTGCAGCATGAGGAGGGGTCCTGCCCCCTCCCCTGGTCTCGCCTCGCTGCCTCTGCCGCCCTTGCGTCAGAGCACAGGTCTTCTGAGCCTCGGGCAGCTCTTCCCTCAGAGCTGGCTGTTCATTATTTGAACGCCAGCCACATAGCTCACGGCTTCTGCTCCACCCCATCCCAAACCGTGGCTGCAGTGGACAGCTAGGGGACCCATGGCGTGCGGTCACTGCTACAGGGAAGAGGCACACAGAGATCCTCTTCCCTTCCTCTGGGATGTACCCTATGTGGGTGTATGTATGCGTACCTGCCTATACCTGGAAGATTCTAGAAATCTGTTTGGGCACACAATGCCCATTTCCCTCACAGGACATCCGGGGCTTCAGGTAAAGCTTCGGATTGTTCACTGTGAGGCCCAGCACCAGACTGAGGCAAAAATGCAAGAAAAAAAAAATCCACTATCTCAGTGCAGCTCTGTGGCGCCTCCTATCGGCGGGGAAATGCATTTTCCTGACCTTTGGCCTCTCCAAGGTCAGGAGCCTCGGGCTGGCTGTAGGAACCTGAGCAGGAACATCCGTGTTTGCTGAAGTCCAGCTTCTGGGGACTGAGGACTGCCCTCTTTCCCTCTGGCACTTCCTCCACGGAAGAGTGTGGGGGGAGGGGGAGGCCCTGGCTAGAGGTGGCAAACGTGTGGACCATCTGCTGCGTGTGGACAAACAAGGCCCCACGTGGCCGGAGAAGGTGACTCCAGCCAATCCACAGACAGGAAACATGTCAGCTGCCACATGACACTCGCGTGTCACACGGGATTTCACCCCCTTACTGATCTGAGAGCCACTCAGCTGGTGACCAGGACAGACAGAGGACCCTGTCACAGCACTTCCACCACCAAAGCGCCAGGGTTAAGTCATGCGATGAGCTCTGTGATGGACATGCTCAGTGCCGTGTGGATGGGCGCCTCACAGTGAATGGCACCTGATCAGTCCAAGTCTGAATGAAGATCCCAGCGTCTGAGGTCGCCAAAGGTCTGGCCCGACCACTATGTGAAAACCACAGGAGCCCCAAAGGTCAGGAAAGACCCGAGGTCTCCTGGTGTGAGGGCCAGCCATC